GTAAGTTTCCCTTTAAGAACGCTGACATTTTTTTTTTTTTTAACTTGTTTTTATTATAAATGGTGCAAACTACACTTATTTACAAAACAGCAATCAGACAGAAAGTATGGGTACAGTTATCAATACAATATTGTTGTCCATATTAAACTACTTACAAAGTAGTGACACAGTAATCATCCATTTGACAAATAAGTTTGAGTCAAAGACTATTTATCAGTTTCCATCTGATATACGCCCCTTAAGCTGCTTTTCCACTCAGTGATGGTGGGGGCTGCGGTCTGAGCCAGGAGACTGTTATCATTTTCTTTGCGATCAGAAGCAGAATCTTCAGTAGATAAAATTCACATTTTGATTTGATTTCCTTTTTAAACATTCCCAATAATGCTGAGGCTGGCTCCAGTGTGATTTTGATGTGCAGACATTTTTCACATTGTATGGCTTTCCAGAAGTTGGACAACTTTGGGCAGTCCCAAAATATGTGTGTATGGTCTCCAACAAGACCGCAGTCCCTCCAACACTTGTCCGAGGTTTTACCAAATCTGGATGTGATGAAGGGGGTTCTAAAACATCGGACTTTAGTTTTCCACTTAATACTGGACTATTAGTGATTTTATATCCTTCCTGAAGCGACTCTTCCCAGTCCTCATCTGCAATTATTGTATTCATTTCTGATTCCCATTTACCTTTTATATGCAGTGTATTTTCAATGACACATATAATTTTAGAGGTAATTCTCCTTTTTATCACAGCTATAAAAAGCATTCCATATCCGAGGGTGTATTTTGCAGGTGATCTAGAATATTGTTTTTGCTAATATAATGTCTTAGTTGTAGATATTTATAAAAGTCTTTATTTGGTAGGTTATATATTTGTTTGAGCTGCTGAAAAGACATCAGTCTCCCATTCTCAGACAATTGACTCATAATTAGGCCTTTTTCGACCCAGTTATTAAAATTTGGTGCAGGAGGGAACTCAGGATTGTGATGTATTTGTATCAATCTACAGATGAAACTGGGAAGGATCAGCATTTTTCTAACACTTGACCATATTGACGGCGTATTCTTCACCATTTCATTTGTAATTTTTCTTTTGGACCATAAATCAACACTTACAAATGGTAAAGTACTGCTACAGTGCTTTACCATTTGCTACATTTGTACAATCCCCTTGTTCCATAGAATACCAGATGTTTTCCTCTTCCAGAGATCCATGAGGTCATTGATTTAAGCTGAGCCTCCAGATAGTCTTAGGTTTGGAATATTCAGTCCTCCCCTCCTTTTAGAACACATTAGTGTTTTAAGTTTCATTCTCGGACATTTGTTCTGCCAAATGAATTTTGAGAGCCACTTATTAAGGATTGTGAAGCCATTGGCACCCTTATCGGCAGTGACTGCAACACAAATAATAATCTTGGTAACACATTCATTCTAATAGTTTCCACTCTTCCTACAAGAGAGAGAGGCAATATTCTCTTTTGAGATCATCCATCAATTTCCCATAGTTTGGTTTAAACAGTTGTGCAATTTGTGGAGTGATCATGATTCCCAGATATCTGAATCCTTGATTACTCAACCGAAATGCAAACCTACTTGTCAGATTTGTAGGCCACTGCCCCTTTAACATCATAGCTTCTGATTTTGATTCATTTATTTGGTAGCCAGAAAAGTTGCCATATTCCTGTAAAGACTCCATGAGAGCTGGAATGGACGCTGCTGAGTCACTAATAAATGTTTAATTATCGTCTGCAAACAGCGAGACTTTGTGTTCCTTTTGATTTTTGTCTTCAATGCCTTTAATATCATTATTATTCCTGATTAGTGCAGCGAGAGGTTCAATATTAATTGCAAATAGCAGGGGGCTGAGACAGTCACCCTGACGAACCCCTCTCTCCAAACAGAAGTAATCCGAGCAACATCCATTAACCCGAACACACAGGATTCGTATATATCACTTTGATCCACTGCACAGATTGTGAATGAAAAGCCATTGCTGAAACTAACAGTATCGAAGGCCTTTTGTGCGTCAAAACTGAGGAACATAGAGCTGTTAGTGTGGCTTTGTGCTTGTGTTACAACATTCAATGTTCTCCTTATATTATTAGTGCTATGCTGATTTGGGATAAATCCTGTCTGATCTGGGTTAATTCATTTCTCTATATTTTTTGTATTCTTTTAGCTAATATATTTGTTAATGATTTGAAATCGTTGCATAATAGACGTATTGGTCTGTATCCTTCACAAAGCACAGGATCCTTTCCTTCCTTATGAATGACTGGTGGCTTCAGACCATGAGTCTGTCTTTGTGAGAGCATGAATACTCTGGTCAATAATGGAGCTCATCCATAAAGCACTTATAAAACTCTCCATCAGTACCGGGAGATTTATTATCTTTTAACTTTGGAATTGTCTCCCTAAATTCAGATTCTGTTATGTTTGAAACCATATCGGAGGATTCTTCTACAGATAATGTAGGTACATTTAGGTGATTCAGAAATAATTGACTTTCTTGCTGGAGCTCATCATTCCTCCCGTTTGGCTCTTCATAAAGTTTCTTATAGAATGATACAAATGCATTGGTTATTTCCTTAGGACGATGAACAATTGCTTTGTTTGTGAGATTAGTTATTTTAGGAATCATCCTGTCAGTCTGTGCTTTACGACTAGCTCTATTACCCAGCTCATAATATCTCTGTCTTGAAAATCTTCGGCTTTGTACGTAAGAATTGTATCTTGTTTAGTTTAATCAATGTATTATGTTCAGCCTCTAGAGCTTTACAGTATGTTTGTTCAAGAATGGACTGTTTTATTCTGGTTCTCTTTAATCAGGATGATATTTGAATCATTTGAACTCATTACAGCTTTGGCTCCACTCCACAAACTGGAGGGAGAAACCTCTCCAGTGTCATTAAGTCTCCAAATAATCTTTCAATGATTGTTTTAGTTCCTGGATTACCTCTTTGTTAGTGATGATACATTTAATCTAATATTTAATAAAACTATCTAATATTTAATAAAACTATCTTTACACAAATCCAAATGCATAATTACTGGATGGTCACTCAGTGTAATTGTTTCAATTCAATCACTTATTTTGTGCATATGTTGTTTTGACACACAAAAGAAATCTATTCTCCAATAGCTTTTATGAACATTCGAGAAGAACGTATAATCTTTCATGTTTCTCCATGAGTCTCCCCGGCCGAGCTCGGGGATCATATTATTGAGCATTTTGGTTTTTATAGTTTCCGGACCTTTTCTGTTGGTGTTCTGTCAAGTTTGCCGTTTTGGACAGAACTGAAATCTCCTCCAATTATCACAGCTCCCTTTGTTTTCTCTGCTTCAACCTTTACTCTGTCCTTGAAGAATGACACGTTATATTCAGAGAAAACAGATTCATAACTCCTCATGCCCTACTCGTCCTACTATAACATATGCCCTACTCGTCCTACTATAACATATGCCCTACTAGTCCTGCGATCATATGCCCTACTCGTCCTACTATAACATATGCCCTACTAGTCCTACTATAACATATGCCCTACTAGTCCTACTATAACATGTCCCCTACTCGTCCTACTATAACATATGCCCTACTAGTCCTACTATAACATATGCCCTACTCGTCCTACTATAACATATGCCCTACTAGTCCTACTATAACATATGCCCTACTCGTCCTACTATAACATATGCCCTACTCGTCCTACTATAACATATGCCCTACTTGTCCTACTATCATAACATATGCCCTACTCGTCCTACTATAACATATGCCCTACTCGTCCTACTATAACATATGCCTACTCGTCCTACTATGACATATCCCATACTCGTCCTACTATCATAACATATCTCCTACTCGTCCTACTATCATAACATATCTCCTACTCGTCCTACTATCAGAACATATCTCCTACTCGTCCTACTATCGTAACATATCTCCTACTCGTCCTACTATCATAACATATCTCCTACTCGTCCTACTATCAGAACATATCTCCTACTCGTCCTACTATCGTAACATATCTCCTACTCGTCAACAGTCCCATCGCACAAGGCTGCATGTAAAGTTGCTTCTGCAAAAACTAAACAAAAAAAAAAGACATAACTCAACATGAAAGTCATCCCACCTTCCCCTGGGCAGGATAAAGTCCCTTGAACTTATTGTTATGAACATACATTTCGTCACTAGCCGAGTCTACCCTTGGTTTTGATAGTTACCAGTCAATTCCAGGAAAATATCAGCTACACGTCGTCTCGCAGAAGCAGTTCCAGGTGCGCACTGGCCATTGCCGTGTACCCACTCACATGGTCGTGGTCCATGTGTTGTTGTGAAGGAGGTCTTCCCGACAAATCTCTCTCTCACTTATGTTCACCTTTATTCCGATCTGCTTCAGGGTTGGTGCTGCCTGTGCGAGTGTAGAGAACGTCTTCACACCTGAATCCATAAGGATTTTCAGCTGCGCAGGAAACGGAGAGACAGCTTTCATCTTCCTCGCTTTAGGTTGTTTAATCACCTCTCTCACTTGTTTGCGTTTCTTTTGAATATCAGCGGTGTAATCCTGCTCAAAGAACACCTTCTGGTCCTGATATGTGATCCCGCGGGTTTTCCACGCTTCTTGTAGAAGTCGGTCTTTCACTCTGTAGTCTAAGAATCTGACGATAATAGACCGTGGTGGCGCGTCTTCTCTCGGCTTCATAGTTAGCGAGCGGTGCGCCCTCTCCACGCCAAGATAAGTAAGTAAGTAAGTAAGTAAGCTTTATTTATATACCGCCTTTCACAGACCAGAGTCACAAAGCGGTTTACAATTGTTATTTTTGGGCACTTGTCCTCTCACTCCACACAGAGATGGGAGCGGGGTCGCCAGTACAGGAGGCGCATGCCAGACCTATTGGACATATTTTTAGTGGTAGGGGAAACCGGAGTACCCGGAGGAAACCTACGCAGACACGGGGAGAACATGCAAACTCCACTCAGAAAGGCCCTTGTCTGGCCGGGAT